TTCATAATTAGCTTGAGATCTGTTACCCAATCAGACAGGCAGTGAGCAGCTAATTAATTAGAGCAGATTAGCCAGGCTCTATGTTTACTCATGTCTATTTACCTTGTGTTATAGCAGTGAATGACTATATGATTTCGCCTGCTGTTTGGAGCAATGGGAAGCTGTTGGATTCGCAGAAGAAAGCCAAGGTCAGAGATAATTGATTTTTATTAATGCCTTGAGAGGTGCATTTTTGCGATGCAGTAAAATTAGAATTCAGAAACATTGTTTGCTCAGATACCAGACGAGAGCAGGAGCAGGCTGATTCCTGCAGCCAGTCAGAGCACACACACAAATGAAAAGTAAGTGCTCCCTTATTCAGAGTTGGAGAAAAGGCAAACTGCATACGACACAACCGAGACAACAGAGAGGGTTTGACATGATTTATGCAGCATGAATGCGTGTGTGTGTGGCAGACAGAGGTTTAATGAACTTGTCTTACCTACCTGTGCGAAAAGATTGAGCAGCTAATGCATACGTGGGTCACTGGTGAGACTTTAGCGTGGCGTTCAAACAAAAGCCGCAGGGCTCTGGGGACCAGTGAAAGTGACAGTTTTACACAGGAATTGTATGTAATGCCAGGAGAACGTGTGGGTGTCAGTGTCTTGCCGGCAACATAAAAGAAAAGTGACTGACAACTAACTAATCTTTGTCAAATAACAGTAGTCAGCACAACATTTCACATTAACCTTGCTCACCTTTCAATTTAGAAGCCAATTCAGTGCAGTATTAGTGTCCTACAAAAGCTGCTTCCGCTTTATAACCAACAAGGCCACTTGACAAGGCAAAGTAAATTACAAATGTTCTTAGCATTTACACATCATCAATCTCTCACTGTCAACTTACATACTTTATATCCAATACCAACATCCAGGATCAAAACTGTGACCCTCATGAGGTAAAAGCGTTAGAAACAATCCAGTTTGTATGCCGAGCTATTTGTTTGACAAAACTATCTATCCATTATCTTTACTGCTTATCTTCTACAGGTCGAGGGGGTCAATACCAGCTGCTATTGGGTGAGAGGCAGGGCCAACAAACAGTCACACTTTCCTTCACACCAATTTAGAATCTCCAGTAAACGTACCCTGTCTTTGAACTGTGGGAGTAGACAGAGAAAACCCACACAGTCGCAGGGAGAACATGCAAACTGCACACATACAGACTCGAGGAGCTGGGATTTGAACCTGGAAGGCGACAATCATGCTGTCCACAAAATTCTTTAGCTGGCCGTGATGTTTACACTCAGGGTGAAAAGCCTGCTATCACATATGGAAGGAAAAAATGCTTAAATATGCTTTTGGAGAGTCTGTCTAGGGGGCATTCATTTAGCAAAAACAAAAAGTGATGGAAATAGTTGTGTTAAGAATAAATATAGAACGCTTGGGAAGCAAGTTAAAACCCCCATCTTGCTTCTCTGCTCCACACATCTGGTCGGTGAGTGTTTGAACATTCAACAAGCACTTGCTGCTTTGGTGTGAGGTAATTGGGCTGTTGGATGGACGTTTCATACTGGACACTGGAATTTGAGGTCAATAACCATTAAACCTAATCTAGGGTTCTGCTCTTGTCCAATTTTCCAGTGTCCACACTGTGTAAGATTACAGGTTTGTTTGTATATACTTAAGGCCATTGCCTATCATCACTCTGGGATTTTTCCAGCAAAGCTATTGGAAAACGAGGGAAATAACTTCAGTTTCTGTTGTACAGTAGAGACATTTGGGTTTAGGATCAAAAGATGAATATGAGAAATGAGTTGAGAATTTCAGCTTTTATTTCCTGGTATTTATGTCTAGGCTTTTCACAATGCACTGAGCCTGGGGCTAACAGCTCCCTTAGCCCCAGGCTTTCATACTGGCATAGTCCTGACACAATCCAAAGTGAGATAACCCCAACTTTAGCCCAAGGCAGGCTGGCACTGCTCCAGAACAGGCTTAGTCCAGAGTGTGTAGGGTTATGCCCCGGAAGTAAACTAAATACAGGGCTAAAAGATGCATGTGTTTCTTTTGGGTCTTTTCTTTCAAGTTGGTACAGACGACTCATAGTCTCATCAGTTCATATAAGATCTCTAATTCTTTTTCAGCTCTGGTCTTTGGATTCTAACAGCTGATAAGTGGATTCTGGTACCTTCACCCCACCCCTGAGGAAGTCAATGCTGATGTCGCTAACTGCAGTTTTTCTTCACAGCTCTCATAATGGTTCAGTCATCAGCTGCTGCTGTTGTCGTCCTTGTTCGACCTGTTCAATGTCTGCTGCTCACAGTAAACAGTAGTTTCCTTCTTTTCAGAAGATTCCAAATTGTTGTATTGGCGTTGCCTAGTGTTTGTGAAATGGCTCTGATCAATATTCCTCTTTTTTCTCAGCTAAAAAATGTTTTCCTCCCATTTAAAGCTGTCTGGTCTTCATGTTCTTTCATCCCTTTGAACAACAAGTTCAGTCTTCACTTGAGAAACTAAAGGCTAGAACCAAAAGTAGACATTTGGTGCTAATGTCTTTAAGTACAGATCAGCTTGGCCTTACTAGTAGATTTGGAGGGACAAGTACATGTCACTGAAATGGAAAAACTCAGTGTTGATGACTGACTGACATCTTGCAGGCACTTGTGAACGAATACAGTCATGTATTGTGAAAGACTAGACACATATGCCTCTGACAAGATATGTTCAAACACGTGCAACTCATGAATAAAAATAGTAGCTGGAAGATTTGCACAATAATCTTATTTCCCAGCATATGGCTGTATGCATCACCTACCTTTTGCATTTTTTTTGTTTCTTAGAGCAAGACAACTGCAGTTTGTCAGACAGAGTCATGCATTCATGCATAAAACAATAAGTATATCTAAACCTGTGCTTTTCACTCTCTCTGACACGCTGTCTATGTGATTTTGAAGTCGTGAGCTGCTGTAGTGACGCAGTGGTGGCTGATGTCAGCCACAGCCAGCTGTCAGGCTCAGCAGTGCCACATCTCCTGTTGTTCCAGACCAGTGAGTGTGGTGAAGGTTGCACCCAGCTCAGCAGTCCAAGACGATTACTGGACAAGCTTGGTGTGATGTGAAAGACAAGCACGGAAATGAAATGGGCTTATTTGTGTTTTTCTGCTGAATTTAACTGGATCGTGTGGTGCTAAAAAAGAGGAAAAAGTGTGTTTCAAAATTATGCAAATTAACAATTCGACTCTCAAATATTTGGCGGACATACATGTGCATAAAAATCACCTCGCTAAAATGTGTACAGTTTAATGTGCTCAAGCAGGTGGTCAATTTATGAGCTAATAAATGAATATCTGTGTATTTACTGTTCTTGCCATCACTAATTGAGCAGCATGACCACAGGGAGTCAGACATCACTTGTAATTAAAAACCTGGCTGGCCTAATAAATGAGGCTTAACGGCTACCTGAGCACGGCCCTGCCACTCTGTCCCAGTAGTTTGGTGGAGGAGGGCAGAATTCACCTCAGCTAATAACTGGACAACTGCACCTTGTCTAGTAGTAGAGCACTGTTTGGGGGGGGGGGTGCAGAAAAGAGGCAGATTGGTGCAATGTGAATTGTATCTATTGACTGACAAGATCAAACCATTATATAATCGTTGAGTGTCTCAGATATTCAAAAATACCAATGTAATGTTTTTTAGAAGGGGTTAATTTTTACATGTGCAAACAGAAGAATAAAGACTAGAAAATAAAGATGACTCATGCTGCTTCTCTGCTTCTCTCTCTCTCTCTCTCTCTCTCACACACACTCACAGACACACACACACACACACACACACACCATAGTTGTTTGTTTTTAGTGTCTTAGGCAGGCAGATATCAGTGTGTCTGTTTCTGAGGCTGTGACAGGCATTGAGTCACTCCTGTGATCATGAGAGTTAATGGCGTACACGATACACAAAAAAGTGCACAGGTGCACTCATGTGAATCTTTGGGAAGTGGTGATGAGAGGAAACACGAGAGTGGCAATGAGACCTGATAGATACAGCAGGAAAAGATGACTGAGTCAGCAAGACAGAGCGGTGAAGTTAATGTCCTTGTTTATTATTAATTTTGTGAAAAAATCTGTCACAGCTACCTCGACCCTCAAAGAACCAAGAAAGTGCATGTTTTCCAGCAGCTGTGTGTGTGTGTGTGTGCACTTTCTTGTTGTGTGGCTGTCAGTCTATTGAAAGCCAGAGGACATATGCTGGTCAGCCAGCTACCCTCCTTACTGTCTCATCATTTTCTCTGTTTCTCCCTGTAGGGTGGCCATTATAGTGAGTTCCCTCAGGCCATGCCACACACACACACACACACACACACACACACACACACACACACACACACACACACACACACACACTTCCTCTCCATCCATCCATCGATCTAGCCCAGCTCGAGGGCCTCAGTGAGTGGGCTCCAGCCCTGTGTTGCAGCCCCATGCTAGGGCCTTGGCCACATTAGCAGCCTAGCGGGAGATTGGCTGCTTGTGCTCGCCAACAGCCTCCAGCTAACATCCTCCCACAAGAGCTGGCACCCTTTAGATGAGCTGGAATGGTCACAAAGTGGGAAGAATCTAATCCGGTTTGACTCCTCTGCAGTGTCCTCAGCCACCATGGGTCTTATTTGTTCCACTTTCCACCCCAAATAAATATGAAATATGAATCCTGTATGTTATGTGTGCTTCTTGGGAATCATTGGATTAAATGGTTGCAGCGCAGAGCAGCAACACTATGAAAAAAAAGCTGTGATGCAGCTGTTATGTTACATGAAGCCAGTTTAAGCTCCTTAACGGTGATATCACACCACATCACATAAATGGTTTAAATCCCTTGTGTAAGTACATCCTGCAGCTATGCTTACCTGAGCGGATTAACACCTCCATAATTGTGAACGGCCTTCACTCGGTCTAAGTTATTCCGCCTTTACCTCTGCCTCTACGATCATGCTCTGGTTCACAACCATCAGTTTTGAGATGTACTATACCTGCATAGGGGATGGGGGCATCTTTGTCCAGGGCCACCAGAGGAGGATCCAGCAGAACGATGTCTGTGTTTTCAGTGATCACCCCGTGGTATGATGTCTCAATCCACGGCTTGTGTTTATTCACTGTGGAGACAGAAAGCAGAGTGTGAGATGTCAGTGAAACACTTCAGCTACAACAGAAGTGTCAGTCTTGACACGCTGCAGATACACATCTTCAATTTCAGTTTACCTTAAAAAGCCGTAAACAATTGAATTCTAAAGTGAACATGCAGGCAACTACAGTGTACAGCACCAACAGTACATGCACATTTTAATCTGTTCTTGGCAAAGCTCATCCAGCCTTGGTTACTTCAACACATCCTTATTATGCTAATCGCCCCTGCAACCTCTTTCTCTCTTTCTGTTTTCTTCTTTCAAACGTTCCCTGCAGGTTTCAAAGCACATTGCCATGCTTGATCAATGACCACTACTGTGCTGCCAGCAGAAAACTGTATCCAAGGCCGAGTCAAAACAAAGTTCATGAGCTGAGGGCCAGATTAAGAGCCCTAATTGATTAACGGCCCCCTGGGCTGTGTGCAAAAGCATGCCGACCCAACTTGCCATTTCTCTCACATCTCACAGAGAAAAAGAAGAGGAGGAGGAAAAAAATGGTTGCAGGAAAGAAAAAACCCTGAGGTCCTTTTCAGTGCTTTTTTTAAATTAAAAAATATGTTTGGAATTTAATTTTGTCTGCTTTTTAAAGTTCAAGTTCAAATTGATTGATTGACAATTACACAATGCGTAGCTGTAATTTAAGGCCCCCTGAGAAACTGCTTAAAGAAAACTAAAACTACCACTACCACACCATCATTGTATGCCTCAGCCAACCAGTGCAGTTTCTGTGTACAGACTTTTTCCCCCAGATTTCTATGAGGTCACTGTGACAACTGAAACGTTATCACATTATCTAAAAAGTTTACTGATAAAACGTTGAAGAAATTCCCTCAAGCAGCATTGAGATATCACATTCAAGAGGCCAAAACATGTTCTTGTGACGTCATCTTGACCTTTGACCCACGAAATCTAATCAGGTCATCCTTGAGTCCAAGTGAACACTTTTACCAAATTTGACGAAATTCCGTAATCGTGTTCATGGCCGGCGCAAAGGCATAAAGAGCACAATACAAAATTTAAAGGCGAATGGAGGGCATGAGCAACAATCTCCATTCAACGAAAGGCAGGGAAAGAAAGAGAACTCTTTGTACGTGCTGATCGAACAACTATTGTTACAGACTACTTTCACTAAAAATACTTATTCACTGAATGCCAGTAAGAGGCTCTTGGCTGTGCTGAAGATGTGTTCTTTCTAAAGAACCCAAACAGACAAAAAAAACAAACAAGACTTCATGGTCTTTGAAAGAGAGCACCAAAAGAACACATCTGTTGCTACTATGACAGATATGCAGCTGCATTTGATTTGATTTTCATTATTTCCATACAACCTGATTGTCTGTTTTCCCTCAAATGTGATTAGAAAGTACACGCTCACTTCTAAAGAGTGAGTAACAACCAGCTGTACTTGTTGCAGATGGAGAGTATGTGCAGTTTCCAGGGGTTACATGGAAAGATCATTCATATAAACATGTGTATATTGATATACTTGCGTTAAGAGCAAGAGGGAAAACAAGAATCCTAATATGGCACCAACTAAATTAGTGTGATGTTGTTGTACTCAAATCAATTAACTGTCACAATGTCTTGTAGGCTATATTTCTATAAGACTCTATAGATGATCACATACAACGCAGGTCAAATTGCTCCTCTCCTGCCAGCCCCCTAGCAAAAGGAATGGACCGAGTGTCCGAGAGGGGCTCATGAGAGAATACAGCAGGACAATGTTGTTGGCATTTCTAACACATGAAAAATTCAAAATCTAAATGAAAAAACTAAATGTATTCAAATATTTCAGGATAAAAAGAAGATCGACTTGGAATCCCGACAGGATTTGAGAGCATTTGGCGACAAGCGCTGATGCCAGTGTTGATGTGCTGTAAACAAAAACAGTGTGATTTCTACATTGGAATATTTATATGTATGTCCTGCCTGCTTCTTGCTCTACCCAGAAACACCCCTCACCTGAATTTTGCAGACTTTGCCCTGTTTTTGTGAACGTGTCAGACCTGGACAGTCTCCTGATGCACCATCATATGTGACAGGCAAAGTCTGGATATCTACAGACCCCATTTTCAACATGTTATCTGGAGTTCATGTCTGAAAACAGCTCAAGTTAGCAGCTAATTATAGTTAAAATAGCTAAAAATATAGTGACATTAAAGTCAGATTTGTCTGTCATCCTGTTTGGAAATTGGTACTGTCAACAAGACAGTATTGAATTGATAAATGCAACACATGTAGCCTGAGGTTTCAGCTACTGTCATTTTTAGTGTTACAAAAATGAATTGAAAATTTAAACTTGATAAAACTGACCAAAAAAATGGTATGAAATCTTCACATCCTCTTAAAATTCAACTGAAAGAAACACATTTGGAACGTGAGGGTTTGTCGACAAAAACAAAGACAAACAGAGTTACTTTGTGAGGTTTCTATAACAACAGCAACATACAGGAAGTGTACAACAATGCTTAGAGATATTGTGGGAAAGCTCATGGACCAAACTTGATTGTTTAGCAATTATTTTCTTGAGGACTCCGGGTTGCAGCAAGAAGTGAATGAGACCTCGGGGAAACATGCTCCACTCCAGAGATGCATATTCATGAGTGTCAGCCCAGAAAGCATGGCTAACGGCCCTGATACAGTCAGAGGAGATCATTTACAGGGGAAGAGAGATAGGAGCCCATTAGTCTATTAGGACGTGATAAATATGCATGAGTTTGCTGCAACAGTGAGGGGTAAAATGATGCTGGATCTCAACTTTAAATGCCAAACCATGTCATTTTGAGAATGAATAGCTTGCTGATGCTGCTGTACAGGAATTTCAAGGGGAAAACATGATGTGTATGCGTCATCCCTGCCAAAGCTCTGCCAAACACAGATAGACTTGTCGAAATGGATCTTCTGGGCATATTTTGTGGAAGATGTTGTGATGCAGACACGCGACAATTAGCACCCTGGTGCTTATTTCAGATTTGGCTATAGAACGAGACATCCCAAAACTTTTTTTTTAGAAAACCATTATCTCTGTCACCAGAAAAAGTTAAATGTGTTATAATAAAGAAAAAATCTAAAGGAAAAAATTGAAAGCGGATGGAAAAAGCTAATCTGGCGCACCAACTTGGGACACGTACACAATTCCGATAAATGTGTAATACAGGGTATAACACGACCCGAGCCCAATGCTTGACAGCCAATGAGGAAACTGGACATGGAGGCACTTGTCCTCTGCTTCATATTCAGTCATCTTGCAGTTTAGGAGCCCTCTTGACCTCTTAATCCTCGACGCCTTGATGCTGCTCACCATCACTACTTAGCAGTGTCAGGCTGATCTAAATGCTCTGCTCTCAGCATTAACCAAAACCTTCTACTGTCAGGGAGCAACATGATCCAGCTGCAGTGCCTCGTTACAGCCCCAAAAAAATGAAGCACAACATATAACATATGGCAGACAACCGAACATCACAATTTATCCTGATGTTATCTTCACACTGGTGACCTTTATGATGACACCAGAGAATACGATGGAGTGCATCTTTCCATCAGCCAGCGTGGGCAAGCTACGGTGTTAATGACATCGCAAACCATCACCGGGCTCCCTGCCTGTGTGTATGTGTGTGGGACGAAATGGTTTTTTCGCCAGGAGTGATGAGGACATTAAAAGAGCGTCCACCTTCAGTAATCGCTGCATTTTCTCGATGGAGTGCCACCTACATGTCAACGCCAACCCTCCCCCCCCCCAAACCCACAACCGCAGCTCATGCAATCACAGATAGGAAATACATTGCTGACGGCGAGTTAACGGCATGGGGCCCGTGTACTGACAGCTTGAGACATGCTCCTTAGTCATTATCGCAAAATGGATGGATATGTGCCACTCTTCTTGCAATTTATGTGGCCTATCATAGAGCGAAGATGGGTGAAGAGGAGGGCGGGAGTAAGGACATGAGCCAGTTCCAGAGATTCCAAGGGGAAACACAGCACGGCCACCACTAAACACATTTAATCTTATAATCGATATAAGGGAAACATGGCACCACACACATTCAAATCTGTCTGCATCATTTCACTTGGCAGATGGAGTCAGAGAGTAAAACTTCTCAGAGTTGCTCTCTGTGCTAAAAGTCTTTACGTCTCTGTGGTAACAACACACACCCAATGAGAAGATTTGTCCTTTTGACATTTTGATTGAACCGCGCAGTGCTCATCTACGCCCCAGCCTTCAGGCTTCACACAACCGCTAATGGGATGTGTGCTTAAAAACAAAAAGTCAGCAAACACATGCACACACACGCACGCACAGACAAAGTGAAGGCCTGCACTCCACTCCGAGTGACCCCAATTTTTAAAGGCAAACACCTTCATTGGCTTCTAACAACCCTCAGTAAATGGCATGCGATAACCCCTGTTTGTGAATGGAGGGAGGTCGACGCATTAACTTCTTATGAGACGTTCCGGCTGTTTGGCCAAACATGACGGACTCGGACGAAAGGACTTTTAACATCTTAAGCTGAAATACAACACACTTTTTTGCCTTTTGAGTGTTTAACCAGCAGAGGAAAACTGCTCAAATGAGATTGTAGTGTTTTCTTATTTGGTCCTGAGCTGGGATTTAAATGCCATGACCTTTAGCGATGTGTGGCACTGGGGTAAAGCAGCTTGAGGAATTTTGTTAACTGGCATCGAGGCAGACGAAACAAAATTATTTGACTCCAAAAAATATCTGTCAGAACGCCCGTAATCTTATTTTAACCTGTAACTTTACCTTTCTGTGATTCCAACTTCAGCTACTCAGCTCTAGCAACTGAATTAATCAAACCTATTACATGTATATGTTTCAATAAAGATCACTCTGAGTGGCGGAAAGGCCGCTGAACCATTTTTGTTCTTCAAATCAATTTAATTAAAGGCTAATATAATCAGGTTGTGTGACAGCAGAAAGGTGAGCGCAGGCACTCAACTGCCCTTTACTG